AAAGTGATGTAAGAAAGCAAAAAGAAATAATACCAAATTAATTTATCTGTCACAAATCTTAACGTGGGACCAAGAAATTGATATATTCGTCAATAGGAGCCCACGGCTGAAGACGGCTGACAAAGCAACTCAATATCAACCAATGGGGACCGAACAGATAACAATTGCCGTTAATTATTTTTTAATGTAATAATAGTCGACCTCATAATTTTTTAATATATTCTAATTGATTCATACTTACATGATCACGAGATTACGTATATCGTAGTAGATAAGCTTCAACATTGTGTTTGTGTATTAAATTATTTTCTGAGTTTTATTCTATTAATTATTTTATATTCTTAAATATAAAGATAAAAATAAATAAATAAATAAAATTCACCCTTCCTGAAATTTTCATCCAAGTGAACAAAAAAAGAGTCTATATTTCTGATTTCAAAATTAATAATTTTAGTGTCGACTTGATTCTTTCAAATTGTTTCTCATTAATGAAAAGAATCCAAACTTGTTTTATAGCAATGTTAAGTAGTCATTGTTAAGAGGACATCCTTAATACAATTTATCTCATATCAGATGATCTAGATTATACATTGTAAGGCTAAAAGGAAAAATTTCAGCAAATGTTTGAAAATTTCAAGTGAATAAATAAGTAAACAATTGAATTATGGATTTGAAAGATACCAAAGAAATCAAGTGCTAGCTCCTGTTTCTTATTGAATTAATTGACGAGGAATAAATAATTTGACTCGTTCATATCCGGATCATGAATTTTTGCAATTTATATCATGCAAGGAGTATCACTTTTACTAATTCGAGAGAAATCACGAATATCATATCAGAATGCCACATAACTTTTAAGGTGGAAGTTATTCTATAGATATGTTATTCATGCTATTCTAAGTGCAAATCATAGCTACTTATGTGACATTTTGATAAGATATCTAGGATTTATATTGATTTGTAATCAAATGCACAAATCACTTTGTTCTATCAAGCTATCTACATGTTGTGTATTATCAAGGATTTCTACATAAGGTGGTGGGATCTTCATGGACAAAAAAATTGTAGTTAATTTAATAATGATCGAGTGACTATTTTTTTTGCTCGAACCAACAAGTCCCTTAGATATAATGAAAAAGGGATTTTGTTCAATCAACAAGGTCAATTTTATGTGTCTATGTAGCCATTGCTTAAAAAGCATCTTCTATTACTCGGTTAGTAACGACTTTATAAGAAAGGGAGATGATAAAATGCACTATTGTCATAACCGAAATGACCGAAAAAGGTATTCTGAGCAATTAAAATAACCAGGTTCATTAATAATTTTGGTATAGTAGATACTATAACACATACAATCATACTCAATTTGATAGAATTGTTTGATCTTAAAGGAGATAAGATGCCTTTCGTGCCTAAATTCACGGCCTACCCCTACTGTAGCTGGTGGTGGTAGTACATCGAGTATAGTTGCTCTTATTGGTGATGTCAATCCTTTGAGAACAAAAATTTAAACAAATATTTAAAAGATAACATTATTTAAGAGCATTTAATTGTAGAGAATTATCAATAATCTCACTGCTTATTTTGCTATTTATTAAAATAAGCCAAAATTGAAAGGGTAATTTTCGATATCTTTGTATAATTAATTATCTAATGAGCAGTTGTTAAGTTGGTGTAACCACTTAGAACCACAATTTTATCGACCGACAACAAGACATGACTAGACAAATTGTTGTACAATCTATTATTACAAATAAACTAAAAGTTTGTCACTTCTAAGAAAGAGAAGAAAATTGCATCCATTAGGTTATTTACAGGTCAATATTTATGTGGCATCAAAACTTATTTCTCATGATATATATGGAAGACATAGTTATGTGAAATAGTGCATGTTTGGCTAAACTTAAGTAGTTCAATTATTAGTAAATAAGCATTTTTTAAAGAAAATTATTAGTGAAAGTTGAAAATAATTAATTACTTCTTTGACAATAATTAATAAAGTAAGAGAATTTTTTTTTTTAAAAGACTTTTAAACAGGGAAAAAAAGGGCTTTCCACATTTTTAAATAAAGCCTCATCCTTGTAGCTAAATTAAGATTTGTATCACGATCTTTTCGTAGGCGTTTGCCCCCGATTCAGTCGGGGGATCGAATTGATTATAGAGGGGGGAAGTGACTTAAAAGTAACTTATTACATCTTTATGTTAATCCAAGTTTCCTCACTTGAATACTTGATTGATGATAAAATTAATTAATTTCAAAACAAGTGAAGATTATTTGGTATGACAACTGTTCATAAAATGAAGGTTCTCTGGTTATAACTTATAATTAAGAAGCTTGATTAAGAAAACACAGATTATTTCAGTGTCCTGACTGTCACTTGCAAGCCATCATAAGCTGCTTATATTGTTCAGTACTAGAAACGGATTAGTTTCTAAACATATATACTAAAATGAATAAAATCTAAGCAAGTTGCATGCAATGATAGTGTAGCCATGTGAACAACTGTGGTTTAAGAACCTTTACACATTTAGAAATATTAATTGATTCAATATAATTGAAATTTAATATTCATATGCACAAAATATAATATTAAATTCAGAAATATTAACTCATTATAATTGAAACCGAATAGGTACATAAAATATAATTATATAGGTTACCTACCATCCAAGTTTTATTATTTGATTAACGGGTACTTTTTACGTTTTGTTTTTTCTAGGTATTGGATTCAAAATTAATGATGATCACTTTGATAATACTTGTTTGAATACACTTGATGCCCGGGCCGAGTAATTAAAGTTACACTTTGACGAAGATATAGATAATTCCAAGATTTTGAGTTCTATGGTAAAAATTTGATAGAGTTGTTCTAACAGGGTCGAAAGTGTCGAAGATTGAACATGCTCGTATGTAACATAGACACTACTATATATTATTATCACGATCTCTGCTTAATGGGATACAAAAGTTATAGTGGAATCTTCATGTATCCAACATGAAGATTATTGACATTTCTCTGAGAATTTCTTATCGATGTTTTAAAATAGTTTATTAAATTGGCATATAAGAACATTATGTTTGGACATATGACGCTCAAGTTGAGTTTCAAGGTGAAGATTTTTGGATGATTGAAATGTATCCTAGTCGACTAAACAAATTTATTAGTTTTTGAGTGCAATGTCTAAGTCTCACTTGGGTGTCAAATAAGTCATAGTTGACAATATATCTCACCTTGGGTGGTAGATAGTAGCCTATAATATGCTTTATTAATTAACAATCATCTAGTCAGGAAGATAGTCTAATCAAACACACAAGTCTCGAATAGTCATAGTCTAATCAGACATATAAGTCTCAAATAGTCATTACCGATCAAATATGTCATGTATTAGATACCTGATTGACGATCAACTAGCTAATTTGGGATGGCCTATCTTTAAAGCACCAATTTGTTAGCGATTAAAATTATGTCACTCTAATTTTCATGACATAAAGTGTGACTTGTCTTCTACGTCTACTTTTTCTCATTTATACATTTCCACAAAAAATCATTTTCATACATCTCAATGTAAAGTTAATGAAAACATACAATAAAACAGCTAATATTGTTTTTTGCAATTTGTCTACACGTTTATTTTGACATCCATTAAAAGTGGCAAAAAGTAATACGCGTGATTCAAGCTAGTTTGTTTTTTACAATATATTTTACACATTAAGAGACATACTTATTGCCCACTTCTTTTAAATGGCCCTTTACCCTTTCCACAATTTTCTCTAGGACTTGGTCTATATAGAATTTCTCTCTCTCTCTCTCTCTCTCTCTCTCTCTCTCTCTCTCTCTCTCTAACTCTCTTATCTCTTTCTTTTTTGCATTCTTTTAGGTCAGCTCTATACTATTTCTTCTTATGATGTTTTCGTTTTAGGAGTCGTGTGATGTTATTTGAAGTTGATAGAAGTTTGTGAATTTCATGAAATGTAGGTGAGAAGGTGGATAAGAGTTGTTAGTCTAACAAATGAATAGTTAAAAATGAAGTTTGATCAATTTTAAAATAATTTTTTTACCAAACAAACACTTGTGGAAACTTTTGGAAAAATAAAACGAGTTCAATAATTTTCACTTATAGTGTAAATCGTGTGACAATATCATTGGGAGAAATAAGTTTAGATCTCACTAGTATTGTTTTAATAGTGCTCATTGACCACTTGAAATAAAAATAAAAATTTAATGTTTTGATGAGATAATTGATTATTGTGTTAGAGCAAACAAAAGTATTCATATCATCACAATTCATTTATGAGAATTGTACATAAAGTTCTAACAAAAAATTTAATAAATAAATATGTCATTCAAAATTTCAGATCATCGTCGAACTTAAAATTATTTTTTGAAAAAGTAAATTTAGATTTATTTTCTAAGCCATTGTTTGAACCCGATTTTGGAGAAGAAAGTGCATTTTTGAATAGTGTACATGGGAAATGTGTAGCTAAGAAAAAATAAAAAATAAAAAAATTATTTACGTATAATATTATTTTATTAAAATAATGTCAAAACACTATTTAAGAATTCCTATTTTTTTTTCCTTTTTTTACCCCAAAAAATAGGGCTCAAATAAGGGTTAAAAAATATAAGTTTTATTAGGGGAAAAAAGTAATTTTCGCAATGTGACCTTTAAATTTTTATCACCTAAAAAGTATAGTGAATGTCAATATTTAATTGATATTAGACATTCAAGGAGACAATTAAGTTCTAGAATACCACATTAATATTTATGGTTTTCCACATATATTACGATTTATTTATAGGGCTAATTTTTACTTGATGAGGTAGTCAAGATTCTCTTGCCTAATTTGCAAGATTTAAAGGAAGAAAGTTGTTGAAAAAAATAATTATTATTTCAATTTCCAAATGAACCGGTGATATAAAAAAATATTAGCCAGCCAGGTACGTATATCATTGTAGTCTCTTTCTTTCATTAAACACCATATAAACGGCGATAATTTCAAGATATAAGTCAATTTCAAAGACACCAAAAATCTCTCTGAGCTTCATAGTAACACAAGTAATGGATACGTTCCATTCTCTCTCTAGAAAAGCAAGTTTTATCTCTCTTCTCCTTTCCCTCCATCTCCTTTGTGCAATTCATTCTGCTGCCTTCAACGTAGAAACTGTTACTTTTAATAAAGGCTTCAGCCATCTTTTTGGTGAAGGAAATACTATTCGTTCTGCAGATGATAAGACCGTTCAACTTCACCTAAATCAGTATACAGGCATGCCCTACTCTCTCTCTCTCTCTCTCTCTCTGTGTATTTTCATGTTTTGGCAAATATGCTTATTTGATTGGACATGCAGAGACAATTTTTGCTTATTTTGGGATAAGTAAGTTCTATCTCTCTAAGCTTTTAGTTTATATGGTGGTCTTCTACAGGCTCAGGATTCAAATCTTCAGACCTTTACAATTATGGTTTCTTCAGTGCAAAAATTAAATTGCCAGCCGAATACACTGCAGGAATCGTCGTAGCGTTTTATGTACGTATTCAACTTCCCCTTTTACCGCGTTTTCTACAAGAATAGTATTTATTTTTGTACGATAATTTTAAATATTTCTTGTGATTTTCATGGTCACGTTATTGATTATTAATAAATTCGGATAAATACTGAAACTATAATCAATACGGTATCAGCGCAAACAAAGATTTTAAGTTCAAGTCTCCGCTAGTTTTTATCTAAAACTTTAGCTGTCATGGAATATTTACAGATGACAAATGGAGATGTATTCCGGAAAACTCACGACGAATTGGATTTCGAGTTCTTGGGAAATATAAGAGGGAAAAGATGGAGATTTCAGACGAATATGTATGGAAATGGGAGCACAAGCAGAGGCAGAGAAGAAAGATATTACCTTTGGTTTGATCCTTCTAAAGAATTTCATCGGTATAGCATACTATGGACCACAAATATTATCTTGTGAGTGTTTTCCTTCTTTACAACTGGCTATGCCTTTTTCAATTGTCAATTGCGGCTTTATTTCAAATTTGACTATTTCAATTGCTTGAGTAACAAAAACTCTTAACGAATTGAATATCGAATGATAAAAGCCATGTAAGAAGAAAAGACACGTTATTGTGGGAATTCATAATGAAAAGGACTCACATGCAAACGTATGACTAGAGGGGTAGAGGTGGGCCCGGGTGGCTTTGGTGGGGTCGGCCTTGTTTGGCGTTGACTGACCGTTTAGATTAGTGGGTTGTGATGCAATTGATGGACATGCATACGTTGATATTAATTACCCATTTGGTTTGGATTAAAATTTGATTTTAATCTAAGTCAACATTAAACAATCAATATTAATCATCTTTTATGTGTTCCACAACTTTTCAATCACACATTTTAAAAACTTTTATTACAATCTACTAAAAAAATCTAATTTTATTCCCATCAAACACCCTTTAAGAATTATTAATTACTTATTTTAAGAAAAAAGTTAACGTAATAACCAAGAAAACTAAAAGAATCACTCAACTTTCTTTTTTTTAATGTATAATTCTAAACGTAATAACTACTCATTGAAGTTCAATAATTAGATATTATCATCTAAAGTTAAAGAGATTAAAGTACATGAAAAGTAATAATTAATATAAGAAATATTTGTCTCTTGTGTAATATTATTGTCCAATTATTCATCACAAACATGAACTATTATTTGGATGATATACCAAACATGAAATATAGAATTGAGTTTATTACAATATTGATGCTTTTGTTCCGTGAATAAGTGATACACAAACCTACACCATAATCCACATGTCCTCAAATATCATAATTTAATTTTAGGGTTTTTAATAATTAATATTTTATAATATTTTTTGCAGATTTTATATTGATGATGTTCCAATCCGAGAGATAGTAAGAAAAGATGAAATGGGTGCAGATTTCCCATCAAAACCTATGGGATTATATGCCACCATATGGGATGCTTCAGATTGGGCTACCTCTGGTGGAAAATACAAAGTCAATTACAAATATGCACCATTTGTGGCACAATTCACAGACTTAGCCCTCCATGGCTGCCCTGCCGATCCGCTACAAGAGGTCGTAAACTCCGATTGCGCTGCCCGAGAAGATGGCCAACTTGCGAGTGATGATTATGCGAGTATAACCCCGAAACAAAGGAATGCAATGAAAAGATTTAGAGGAAAGTACATGTATTACTCGTATTGCTATGACACGATAAGGTACCCCGTGCCACCATCAGAGTGTGTCGTCGATTTGGCGATCAGGCAGCGGTTCAAGGATACGGGACGGCTGAAATTTGACGAGAAACACCATCGGCATTTCAAGAAAAGAGGAGAGGTTATGAATGCGAGGAATAATAGGAACCAGGAGAATGTGTGATTTATTACAATATTGTTGTGGTGTATAGTATACCGTATACTTCCCTTTTTTTTTAATTTTTTATAAGATTGGATGAGGAACTTCTATTCTTGACATATATAGTTTTGAAAATAAAAATGGTGTCATTATTTTATAAAGTACAAACCGAGTTCTTCCTCTAGTTGTGGGTCGAATGAGCTAGATATACTTTTTCTTTTATATTTACAAAAATGTTTGGAAAAATTGAACAAGCGTTGAGTTAGTTGAGATTGGACATCCTAACCGCGTTCCACAATGGCCAAACATGTTCGGTGCCAAAAATTTGGCATAGATTTGTTTACCTAACTAAGATTCAAGAACCATCAACTTCAAAACCCAGCCACAAATGACCTATACACAGTTGATTTCACAAGAGATTTGTTGAAAGAATGTTTTGGTATGATTATAGCTTTGCCTTGTAGTAGGTTTTGTAGTCCAAAACCAGATAAGTGGACCAAATTGGTCAAAATTTGGGGTATGCACCGGCAATTGGCTGGTTCTTCAGTTAGGACTCGAATTCCTCTGCATTAATTAGCAAAATTTTCTGGAAATTACATGTTGGCTTGCTCAAAAATTTAACCATGAGAAGTGAGATTTATTTGGGAAAAAAAAAAAGGTTTAATATGCTCATTAATTTAAAAATGATATTGAATAATTGAACAAATTGCGAAAAAAAATCTCTAAAATAATTATTGAATCCTATTAAACGGACAAACCATTAATGAATAAATAAAGCAAACTTGAGTTAAAATAAGCAAGAAATTTTTCGGATTGCATCACAAGATAATTTAACAATTTCATTCACGATAAGTGGGGTAGAAGATGTCTTGGAGTCCTTTTATCTTACATCAAATCAATGATAATTTATGTAGAATAATCATAACTACTAGTGGCTTCGTAGACACCTCTTTATTAAACTCAACAATGCACAACAATATTTTCGATGATTATAGGGGAATTTTGCCCAATAGCCTAACTTAACAATGTATTTGGTTAAATGGCCTTTGACCAATAATAAAAACAAATAGAAAAATGTAAAATATTTTAGTTGGCAAAATGGCAAAATTCTCCTTTAGTTTTTCTCATTTCATCCTGCCATTTCTCATCTAAATTCACCTTAAAACTCTAATTTTTTTTTTAAATAACGTCTTCTTCTTTCCATTTTCACGTTCTTCAATTTTTGGTCATCAAAATTACAATCATATATTTTCTTTCTTTTCAATCACTATTCTTGCTACCCTAAAATTATGTTATTTATTATATTCTTCATTTATTTTGAGTATCTTTTGAGTGAAAAAGGATGCTCTTAGAAATAGCATCTATATTATATTTTTATTATTAAATAATATTTAGTTGATATTATTTTCATATTTAGTGTGATTTTTGTGTAATATGCAACTATTGGATGTAATAGCACTCCAATTGCTATACAAACTACAAAACACTACTCTAATTGTTATCTGTAAAGTAAAATGATGCTACAGTCGTTATCTGCTCTAGTTTGATTTTTTCAATAAAATAACCTCTAATAATGGATTTGCTAACGTATATAATACAAAAAGATCGACTAGTCACAAAGAACGATTGAAATGACATATGTTATATTATTGAAATGATAAAAGCAAAAGTCATCACACTCATATGTGTCGATTAAATTAATGAACATATCTATCAATTTTTGTACGTATCATGTACATATTACAACATAAATAAGTTTCGCTTTTTATTTTTAGGGAACAAATGGACCATAACTGTTTATACCCGTATTTATGTACGTAACAACACAAGTGTTGTTTTCATGTCAAGTAACGACACTTGTGTCGGTCCGAAAGTTTCACATATATCCAATTTTTTCAACAAAACAACATTCAATAATGAACTCCCTAACGTATGTTACTAACATGAAAATGTTTATACTTTGTTAGGGGTCTAATGTTTGAAATCATTGTGCTGGAATAGAACCAAAATACAGGAAAAAACAATAGAACAACACAAGAGCCGTTACTAAAATGAAACGACCATTCTGTGATCTATCTATAAATATGAGTTGAGAAATATGCTCATTAATTGTCAGTCTAACCTCCCAATGATGACACAACTGCTGTTAAGATTGTAAATTTACTTGTCCATGAAAACGACACTTGTGCCGCTGCTAAGATGAGAACGTCTATAAGAACTTTATAACTATTATTATGCTTGTAAATATACTTGTCTATGAAAATGGCACTTGTGTCGTTGTTGAGATGAAAAGTCTTTGAGAATGGTATTAGCGCCATTACTGGAATTAAAAGTTTTAAGAGAACAGCATAAGTGATGTTACCAAAATATAAACTTGCATTATTACTGTGAGAACAACACAACTTAAGGTGTTCAATTCGAAAGGTCGTAGCTTTGGAACCAAACGAAAATAAAGGAGAAATCAATACAATAGCTTAAGTGCCGTTACTTGTAATAAAACGGCACTTGTGCCATTTTATCTATAATTATGAGTTTAAGCAGCCACAACTGTCCTTGAGTCAAGAAATAATAGATTGAACTCAATTAAGTTGCAAGGTGAACCTCACATTTAAAAAAAATTAAGAGATATGCTCATTACTTTTACTTTGTTGAATATAATAGAATTACTTGTACTTTCAACAACTTTGTATCAAATAATTTAAATAATTTCAATCGTTTTTTGTCACTTGATTTATTTTTCTTGAGTACTTTACAAATCCAATGTTTGAGGATGAAATGTCATTAGAACAACACTTGTGCTATTATTGAAATGAAAAGTTCTAAAAGAACGGAACAAGTGTCGCTTAGAGGATGAATATGTCATTAAGAACGGCACTTCTACCATTTTTGAGATGAAAAGTTCTAAAAGAACGATATAAGTGCCGTTATCGAAATATAATTTCTCCATGAGAACGGCACTTATGCTGTTACTATAAAGAAAAGTACACTTTTGCCGTTCTATCTATAAACACGAGTATAGATAACCCTGAAACTCATTTCAGCTACAAAATGTATATGTTGTTTACAAAAATTGAGAGATGTGCTCATTAATTATATTTTCTACGAATCAATACTTGACTTATGATTTCACCAACTCGATATCGTATAACTTATGTCAATTCAACTATTATTTGTTACGTGATCAACATTTCTAACTTTCTTAAATTAGGAGATCCATGTTTGAGGTCGCTGCGTTAAAAAAGAAGCAAAATATTTGAAAAATTAACAAAATGACACAAGAGCTGTTAAACAACACTTGTATCGTTCTGTCTATAAACACAAGTATACATAACCAAGACCCATCCATGCCCTGAGAATCAATAAGTTGAACTCATTTCAATTGCAATATGAACATTCCGTTTATAAAAGTTGAGAGATGTGTTCATTGATTATATTTTCTAACGAATCAATACAATGACTTGTGATATTACCAACTCAATGTTGTACAATCTATGTCAATTCAACCATTCTTTGTCACGTGATCAACCTTTCTAACTTTCTTAAGTTAGGGGGTCCATATTTGAGGTCGCTGCGTTGAAAAAGAAGCAAAATATTTGAGAAATTAAAAGAACGACACAAGAGCTATTAAACGACACTTGTGTCGTTCTTTCTATAAACACGATTATATGTAGCCACGACTCATCCATGCCCCGAGAATCAATAAGTTGAACTCATTTTAATTGCAATATGAACGTCTCGTTTACAAAAGTTGAAAGATGTGCTCATTGATTATATTTTCTAACGAATCAATACAATGACTTGTGATTTCACCAACTCAATATCGTATGATCTATGTCAATAGTACCATTCTTTGTCACGTGATCAACCTTTCTAACTTTTTAAAGTTAAGTAATCCATGTTTGAGGTAGCTGCGTTGAAAAAAAAGGAAAATATTTGAGAAATCAACAGAACGACACAAGAGCTGTTAAACGACACTTGTGTCGTTCTGTCTATAAACACGATTATACCTAGCCACGACCTATCCATGCCCCAAGAATCAATAAATTGAACTCATTTCAATTGCAATATGAACATTCCATTTATAAAAGTTGAGGGATGTGCTCATTGATTATATTTTCTAACGAATCAATACAATAACTTGTGATTTCACCAACTCAATATCGTATAATCTATGTCAATTCAACCGTTCTTTGTCACGTGATCAACATTTCTAACTTTCTTAAATTAGGTGATCCATGTTGAGGTCGCTGCATTGAAAGATAAGCAAAATATTTGAGAAATCAATAGAACGACATAAGAGATGTTAAACGATATTTGTGCCGTTTTGTCTATAAACATGATTAGACGTAGCCACGACCCATCCATGCCCCGAGAATCAATAAGTAGAACTCAATTCAATTGTAATATGAACATTCCATTTTCAAAAGTTGAGAGATGTGCTCATTGATTATATTTTCTAACGGATCAATACAATGACTTGTGATTTCACCAACTCAATGTCATATAATCTATGCCAATTCAACCGTTTTTTATCACGTGATCAACCTTTCTAATTTTCTTAAGTTAGGGGATCCATATTTGAGGTCGCTGCATTGAAAAAAAAGGAAAATATTTGAGAAATCAGCAGAACGACACAAGAGCTGTTAAACGACACTTGTGTCGTTCTGCCTATAAACACGAGTATACGTAGCCACGACCCATCCATGCTTAAAAAACGAATAAGTTAAACTCATTTAGGTTGTAAGATGAACATTATATTTACAAAAGTTGAAAGATATGCTCATTAATTATATTATAATAAACTAGTAGAATAACTTATATTTTTATCAACTTAATATCATATGATCCAATCATTTAGATCATTCTTTGTCACGTGATTAACGTTTCTATCTTGCGCACGTTAGTGGGTCAAATGCTCGAAGTTTTGAATTAAAAATAAATCAAAATATAGAAGAAATTCAACAGAATGGCACAAGTGCCATTACTAAAAAGAAAACGACCCATGGGTCGTTCTGTTTGTAAACACGATTATAAAACGGCCACATCCTGTTCATGACTCTGAAAACCAATAAGTTGAACTCATTTAAATTGTAAGATGAGCATGATATGTACAAAAGCCGAGAGATATGCTTATTATTTATATTTTAATTACTCAGTGGAATAA